AGCAAGCTCCAAATTTTTGACTAATCGTCAAAGAACCCATCAGAACTATAACTCAACGATCATCGTCCAACAAGAATCGGTGTCACCCTAAAGCAAAAGTCTCTTGCGGGAGCAAAATTTGGCTTTACGCATGCATCGTGGCAGCTCACCTCTGCTCACAACGAAGGGTCCCTCAGTGCTTGTTGTGGGTCTCATCACCCGGGATGTTGAGGTATATCTCGAAGCTCACCTAAATCGAGCCGAATGGACTACGGTCCATCTAAAGGTCGCCTGCGTTTTGCTTCAAGAGGCACAAAACGCTTTTCTGTCTGAGTCGCACGATCATTTACCGTGCACGAAGCACGCGCATTCCTCCGCTCCAGGAGCTTGGAGCTCCTCTATCCGGAGGCATGGCTACTCCCGCCAAGAGCTAACCGACGAGCAGAACCGAAGGAACGAGTCAGCTCTGATTGCTTAGGGCCGAGTCCCTCGCCCTTCCTTGGGTTCGGATTCGGTTCCAGAGCGTGGCTCACTGCAGCCGAACCCTGCTGAACTTTGGAGAAATGTAGCACGAATTCTCCGTTTCTCAATGCCTGTTTGTTTGTCTATCTGACTTCATGTTTGTTGTTGTTGTTGTATTCGTTGTCGAGTCCGGCGTCGAGCTCCTCCGCTCCGGAAGCTAACTGAATGAAACAAGAAATGTTTGTATGTAATGTAAGGAGTAAGTCTCGTGAAGTCGTGTGATCCGTACGGATGCTATTATCTCGTATGTACACAAAATGTTTGGCTGTCTGCACCCGTAGAAAGCCTAGAATCAGTTCCTTTCGATATCACAAAGTGGGCCAGTGGAGCTTGACCCGCTGAATTCAAGCTCTACGTGACGGGGAATGTAGCCCGGATTTTTCGTGCTGCAGGCGCTGTCATCTTCGTAGGAAATCAACCACCCAACGGGATACTCAGTCTGAATGCTAAATAGTTGGAGTCGCAAGGACACGAGCCCGCTAGAGCCTCTCGATTGAACAATTAATTCTCTCCTTTTCAATTGTTCGTTCCTCCCGGGGGAAAGAATTATAAGAGGATCGGGAAGGATTCAAGCGATGCTAGGTATGTCCGTAAGTCGCGTCTATGCTCACAACCGCGATCTTCAAGGTCCCTTCAGGGCCTCCCACGGATGAGACTCATAGAAATACATTGCCCTTAGTCTGGGTCTCAACTCCGCCCAGGAGTCGCGACATCGCCAAGACGTCGCTCTCGACCCTCCTGTTTCGGCGTCGGTAAGCTGGTTCTCGAATCACCCTTTTCCTTGACTGGGAGACTTCGCCTATGTGGTACAAGAGATACGCGACGCTAACCAATGCGGCTGTTTCCGGTTACGCGGGATCATGAACCGCCCTCTTCTTACGCAGTCGGTCAGCGGCTGCTCGTTGGATGACGCAAACCAATTTGTGAGAAGTTCATCGTCCACGAACGTTCCTCGAGGAAATTCGTTTGAGACTCGACCTATTCGCAGCGACGCGTCACGATTTCACTCGATCTCTTATCGGAGCATCCGAAGTCGAATGTGGCACTCTCATCGACTTCAGTTCCGACTTGAGTAGAGAACAGAGTCCGGTACAACGGCCAATCGCAGACAGGTATCCATCCTGCCGCTAAGCGAATCGTCTGAGAATCCCTCCAAAATTTTAGATAGGCTCGCTCCAGAAACTTCCTTCTCTTGTCAGTCTCGTCATTCCAATCGGTAGATCCCTTTTCGGCGGTGAGAACTTGGTGAAATTCCCTTTGAGTTATCCCAAAAGTTGTGAAGTCTCCACCTGATTCTCCTAACCCCGAGATCCTCCGGGCTAGGAGTCATTCGATGAGGTCCGAACGCTCACATGATACTGTGAGCCCTAGATCCACGTGTTCGTCAACCTGAGCGCTTCTTTACTCTCGTCCCCTGCCAGTTTTTTGTCGGAACGACATGAATGGATGCCCTCACATCCTCCATCCGGGGTGAGTTTTTGTACAAGTTTGCTGTTCATGTATGCCATCGCCGCGTTCGTCAAGCGCTTGAGACGTGATCCCGTGTCTCGCTTCCTCGTCTACGAGTACACCGGTGTTACTGTCTATGTAATCTTCACCCCCTTCCGTTTGGCGACTGGTCATCCCGAACCCGCCTATTTCATTTTGCTTTCCCCTCGTTGGCGTTGTGGGTTGACCAAGACACATCTACATAATCAGTGTAAAACGCTGTAGCGCTGGAGTCATTCGATAACCCTCATAAGGCCGCAGCGTTTCTGCACCTTTTTTGGGCGAATAGTGACCCGAGAGGACCATCCTTAAGTTCCTCTCGACTGCAATAGAGAATGGAGAGAAAATAAAAACACTCGGAGCTGCCTCCACGGGGTTCAGCGGCTCTCAGCTCTAGACCTGTGTAATTCTCGCAAAGGAGTAGGAACTATCGTGCTTTTGAATTTCGAGCTTGATCTCGACTAAATCCTACTTCGAAGTCTTCCCGGGTGGGATCAACATTGGTTTGTATGCACTGCATTCCTGCCGTCCACTCAAATTGTTCGTTCCTTTTCAGATATCATCTGTCGACGCATTCGCAAATGTAGTACAGAAATTCGCGTCATATTCATTGGTTCTCCTGATCGAGACAGTGAGTATATGAACAGTAGCTATCGGGAGTTTCTTCCCGGCTTCCTAACAGTGGGAGCATTCGTTTGTGTGAACTTCGTCTCTGGTTCGCCATCTACGCGGAGTTTGTTCTACACTACACCTGCACCCAAGCGGCGTGTTCGACGGGGGGAGTTTCCTGGAATGTTCTTACACCTTCCCTTCAACTCCGATCTCCTATCTCTGAACTAGCAGCTCTCAGCTGATAGGGGGCTAAGCATCGCTTTCAGGCTCCTCTTAACTTCCTGAGAGGCCATACGGCTGGTTGAGGTTAATTCAATTTTCGAAATTCGGATATGTTCGAATCATCCCAGGGATTCCGCAAGGTATTCGGATTCTTCGCTAATCGATGGAGCGTCTGGCATATTCCTCGGTAATTAGTTCCGATCTAAAGTAGGTCACCGGGTATATGGATTCGGCAAGTCTGTCATCAATAAGTCTATACCGTTCGACCGTTTTTGAGACTTATCAGTGAGAGATGTGAGACAAGTGTTCGGTGTAAATACGCGTGGTGTATTTTCTGAATATATTTGTTCCAGACAAACCGTCCTCGACTGAAGTCGTTCGGACGGTACACTAACCTTTTTCCTAAGGCTTCGTTTCCCGGAATGTTTCGTGGGAGACCAAATCGTGAGCAGCAGGTGTGGAGGTTCAAGTGGAGATAGAGGATTACGGGTCAGGTCAGACAGTCCCCGACCCTCAGAGCAGGGCAGCTCGTGTCGAGCCCGCTAAATTCATTGAGGTTCTCCGCAAGGATGGCCTCTTTCTCTGCTCGGGAATTTCTTTAGCTTTCTATTCTAAGAAAATTTCCGGACCATCATTCCGATTCTCTCTGAATAGAGCCCGATATATTCGCAATTTCCGCCTCTTGGCATCGAACTCGGCGATTTCCTCGAAATTGAATGATCGTCGTGTTTTACAGACACTCATCATTCCCATTCGAATCTGTCTCTAGCATTCATCCCAGAATTGTCCTCACTGATTGCCTTTGTTCCGGCTTGTGAATCGGCTCGGTTTCCACTCGCTCTCAGGATTTTCCTGAGATCAAGCTCAATTTGTCTCCAATCCTATTCTCGCATCAACTACCCTTGCTTCCGCGCTCCCTCGCACGGTCTTGCTCGCATTCTCTCTCTTTTTGAGACCTCTTCGTATATCTGTAAAGATCAACTCTTATTCTTCGGACCTCCTCCGAACTTTCTCCCTCTCTCTCACATTCCACGCCTGCTGATCCCATTCTCTCTGTTCTACTCATCGCTAGTCTCTTCTACGATTTGTATGAATATTTTTCTCCGATCAATGAATCATAGAAAATCTCTTCCCATGGCCTCCTCCACTCCTGACTCGCTCACTGTCCGCTCGAGCGACAATCTCCGATTTAAGTACTGACTGAATGTATGTGCTGCGGATCTGGCTATTGGGTAACTGTCCGTGGTTGAGTTCGCTGTGCATGGCTTCCGACTTTTTTCCCCTAGCTTATTTCCATTACTTCGTAATTCAATACGATCATCTCATCAAATAGAAGCTTCAAGCTTATTTCTCTGAATATTCTCCCACAAATGTCAAACTTATTTCATTTCGTTTCGGCGTAACACTGTTCTTTTCCTTTTCTGAGAAGTCGACTCCCTTGCTTGTATAGTAGTCGTTTAATCTGGTGTCCATCCTCCCGTTGTCAGTTGGGATAATCCCCTTCTCTCCTAGTCAATATCTCGTTTGGTTTGATTCGATGAGTGTAGGCATTGTCAATCGAGGTCGTTTCCAGAACGAATCAGGTCTTCAATTGATCGCAGAAGATTTTGTCTTCCGAGCACCCGTGTGGGTCTCCGAGGACGGGGCCTAAGTGAAGCCAGCCCGACGAGAATTAAGACTCTGAACCGAATTTCCCCCGTTAATCAACGCTTAAACAGGGATTCAGCCACCCAACTCGCTTGCCTTCGACGATGTTCCGGAACTCACTCATTCATCAGAGAGACTGATCGTTTTTTTTTTGCAAATTCAGGCTCCAATTTCAGCTAGAACATCTCGGGCAAATGGTTCCCCCCAGCGTGTCTTGTCGCCAGATGTAGATTCGCGCATCCTCCCGTTGCCGTCCGAGTTTCACAACGAATTCTCAAAATATAGGGTATTTCTGTTCTTGTTCATCTCAGCTCGCGCTTATCCGCTCGTCCAGAACAATGTCAACATTCTTCGCGGAGCCCAGTGCATGAGGCCGTCCGAAGGACTACCTCTTGCTGGATAAGCTCTCCTCCTGCTAAGCGCTCCGACAGACGCTCTCGACTGCATAAACTGCGAAAATACAAGACGTCATGACAATTCATGACCGTCAGTGATCAGACGTCCGCGACCGGAACTCCCCGAATTCCTCATTACGCTGCTTCGTCTTCATATTGGTTGATGTCTTCGTGGCAAACTTCCATGTAGTTGGGGTCTCGAAGAACTCCTTTGATCATGTCCTTTAGCATATTGTACCTGAAATTCAATTCAAGGTCAGACTATACTCCGCAGAGTTGTATACATAGATAATTCGAAGCACCCATACAACGATGAACTTCGATGACATTCCACCATCAGGCATTCCGGAACATCGGATCATGGAAGCGAGGAAGCTCAGCACGGCACTCGGGTCGCCCATACCTTGGGATGAAAGGGTACACCTTGGAGTCCTGGTACGATAGCCGTAGCTGATGTACGACTGCCTTCAAGGCAGAATATCGTTTGAGCAGACGGTATAGATCGTTGATCGTCTGCGTGTTTTCATCCTCGATCTCTTTGACAGTGATGGCTGTAACGGTCGGTAAACCCAGTCAGTCAGGGAGCTGTTTGTTGTGTCGTGTCATTAATCGCCGCATTCTTATCTCTGTAATATGGCCGTCAAGACTGTTTCTGACACGGGAAGCCGAGCTGAACAAAATCACACACAAAGCACAGGCTCGCTTATTTGTGATTCTCGATCGACTTCCTGCCGAGTATGTTTCCTGTACGACGTCTACCGCAGCCCGGTCGCTCAGGATATCGGATTTGGGAACAAAAACCTCGTAGAGTACGCAGTGCTCGGAAGCCGCAATCATCCGATCGACTGTAATGAGGCTATTCGAGACCCCGACCCAGGGGTAAATGGAAGAACATCAGGATGTCCGACTGGATAACTAACCAGCGACTTACCATCGAGTCTTTGCTTCCGCTCTTTGGCGAGGCTTTCTTCTTCCTGTGTGTTTCTCGGAGGTTGTCCGTCGACCGTTCTCGATTCACCCGCTTTTTCGAGACAAGTGCATGTCCTCAAAACGTAATTGGTGACCTGTTCCTGTTTGTCTTGCTTCGGAACGTCGAGCAGTAACCAGTACTGCGTGTCCAGGTTGATCACGTCTTTCACCATTGTTTTGAACATGCCGTATCTGGAATGATGGATTGTCAATTCGCAATGTGCTCTCCCCTCGCAAGCACGACCGATCGCGCGACTCGCGCTCATCGAAATCCCCATTCAACTGACGGATTATGTCACGGTGCTCTACCGGATTACTCTTCCGAGTTCCAACACTTCGATTATCGAGAGCCAGCTGAATGATCGCTTCCTACGGCCAGGGGCCTGCTCAGGCGAGAGCCCTCTCGCGCGTAGAATTACGACACCCGCTCTACCCTCGACTTGAGGGGGAAGGGAGTTCCTCCCCCATTGTACGGGTCGATAATTCTTGAGGAATGCCCCCCTGACCCTTCGTCTCGGCTCCGAGAGCTACGGAGGAACGAAGCGGGCACGAAAAAAATCGGCTACGTACCTTCTGACGACATTTTTTTCCGCTTTGGACATCTCATACTTCTCGTGTAACGTCGTAAGCGCGTTGCGAACTGTGTAGTACGACTTCGTTATACGAGTGTTCATATAGAACAGTCTCTGGGAGAGTTGGGTGGCGCTCTCGCGGGTGTGGTCTGCGGAAGGAAATAACGTTACCGGTGCGAGCGGCGAACGAGCAAACAGAAATTCATCTAGATCGAGACCGGATATCTTGGCTATCGTGGAAGAGATGCCCGCCATGTCTCTTCATCTTGAGTGATTCTCCCGGACGCCATCCGGATGGTCCTCCACGAACTCGCAAGACGCCGATAGCGCGCGAATCTCTAGATCGGGAGCCCTCAGGATACCCGTTCCCAGAATCGAGATGAATGGCCATTCATGTACTCACCAAACTCGACCTCCGAAACGAATTTTTTGACACTTGTGGTGAACTTGCCGACTAGATTAGACCCTGCAAGTGAAGAAAGGAAAACGATTAGATTTTGGAATTGAGAAGAACATCGATTGCTGACCTGTTTCGAGGGTCACGCGTCACGCTGATCTCCGACCTAACACTACACCGATTCCATCCTCCCTAGGTGAGTATCATTTCATTTTATCGCGATGGAGTCCCCATCGAGGAGTCGACCGGCACCAACATTTGCGAAAGAGACCATTATAGTTCCCTTCTGATTCTTCCGGATAGAGCTTGTGAGTGAGGCTCGATGTCCTTGAAGACGTATGAAGGAGGAGGGGAAACGAGAAAGAAAAAACGAGAAGAACAAGGGATTGAGAGCAAAGGCTGATTCGTCCTTGGCTGTTTTAGAGATTCTCCCACGGTGTGCGGAACGACATGACTCTGAAGGAGGGAATCTCTGGTAATTCGGACCAGGGATGAACTTGTCTGATGATTCGAAGCGGAGGAAAGCCGAACGACTTCGACGACCGAATGTCATTACCCAGATCAAAGCTGATCGCTTCAGCTCATACGCTGAGGAGAACCCGAAAGCCCCTTTGCTCGCGAGTTCTGCGTCGATCCCGTCTCGATTCACTTTCGAAAAAAATAAGATCGGGATAGACTCCACGAATGTATCACAGTCGAGCTGAATTATTGTGGGAAACGACGGGATGATAGAGCGCATTCCTTCGGAGAATCGAGTTCCTGATCGTATCGCGTTGTCAGTCTACAAACAGAAATGCTGCTCTTGGTCTCTCTGGGTGCTCCGCCACCTTGCAGGATACAGGATACCCGGTGTCTCCTACGCCCCCCAATCCTCTCGTGGAGGGCGGCATCATTCAACTAATACGCATCATGTCCGTGCGGGACTCGACGCCGCCGGTAATTTGACGGGTTCGATGATGAGATCGACTGTAGCCTTCGCTGCGTTCGGAGGAATCAATAATCTATGCAGCCCAAGATTTCGGCGACAAGACAAGATACCTGACGAAGGTTTCCTGATCTCATTATGCGTCTTCCGAGAGAGAGGGAAGGCTCGAACTCAAAATATTTGGGGCCGAGGACCGAGTGAGAGAGACCCTCGGATCTTGTTTCATCAGCGAGTAGATTCGACTACACCGGGTAGCTTACATCTCATTGTGAGAGCCCATCTAATAATCATAACGTCTAATTTTCGCATACCATTTCATCAACCAATCCATCGGAGAAGCGAACGCATCGTTTGCTCCATCAATCTAAGCGAACGTATCGTTTGCTCCATCAATCCCAGCGCCGCAATCTCCTTCGACGAATCTGGAGCCCAGATCATTTGCCCCCTCAGAATCAAGTCCCTCGTCGGGCGACATTTTCCAGGTGGTGCGGAGTCTTTGAGTCGGTAGGCTGCGTCAGTCGACTTCCAGCCAAAGACTTTCACGAGCTCAAGTTCCGTCGGCGATAGCCCGCGGCATACTTTGCGAGACGGAAAAATAAGATAGGGAGTCTTGCAATGAAGAAGAGGTGGAGTATCGAGGACAGGATTCGGAATCCGAGCACTCGACAGCGGGGAAATAATACGCTGCGCTGCAAAATACGAAACGAATGTCGAGATCGGGGAACGTGTGTTTTAGGAGCATGTGAGAAAGCATGCAAGGCGCAGAACAACACGTGCCCAACAATTTGGAACTTCTCGTGGCGTCCCTGACGCTGGTCTCGCTTTTTCCGAGCGGCAACCCCTGGGAGTTTCGAGAATGTTGGGCTGGGGAAGCGGTTTCGGGGTTCTGAGACTTCTCGGGGTGTCGACTTTTATGTGCGCGTCGTCGTTCCGCGTCTGGGTAGTCAGACGGTGATCCTTTCTCAGTCAAAGCGCACAATTTCGCTTCCCATGAGAGAAGGTTCTGAGGGAAAAAGAACGGCTCGAGGCCTTTCTTTCTTCCGCACGCCACGACCGTCAACGCCGCGTTTGCGTTCCGCAAGCTCTGTAAGGGAGCACGATTCAGTCATAAATGCTGCGCCATATCCCGGGAACAAGTCTCCCTCTTCAGAAAACTCCAACAAACAGACCCTCCCTCCCCTTCGGGCCTGATGTTCTCGTCATCACGATTGTCTCCTTGGCGAAGAGCTGGAACCATGCTTTTGCATGGCTGCAAATCAGGGTCACGGAGCGCGGCTGGCGGCTCGCTCCGTGCCCTCTCGACGGAGGCCACCGCTCGCAAGAGGAACCACCTGAATGTTCCTGTCGGGAGCTTCTTCCCACCTAGGCATCGTTCGCTGCGACCGATCGGACCAGCTTGTCCGAGAATGAGGCCGGCCGTTCGATCGTCAAGGCTGATTCGGTGACCGCAATTCCGTTGGGACAGACTGAGCGGCGCGGCGCATGCAGGTGTAGAGATCTTGTGGGACGTGCGCGTGCATCGACTGTCTCGCAGGTCTAGGCTCATTCCAGGGATGCTCCTTCCCTCAAGAAAGAGAGACGAGTCCGTTTGATTCTGCTCACGCTCTCTCGGAGATCATTCTTGCCCTGATGCTCACCAGAATGCCAGACGGAATGTACCAAAAACAAGCCATACGACCGATTTCCTCAGAAAACGGGAGTCGAGAGTTGGCTGTCGGAAGGTCCAAATTGAGCGCCGAAGTCCTCCCAGGCAGCGACGCTCGTATCTTTGTAGGCATGCCTAAGAGCCGCCAGAGGTTCACGAGCAGTAAGCATCAAATGTCGATTCCTTCGGAGCTTCCGCGAGGGTTCATAATCGATGGCGTACGTGAAGTCATTGGAAACGATCCCTGTGCCGGATTCACTCTTGGTACTGGGGTCCATTGTTTTTGCAAAGGTTTCATGCTTCAAGACCCGAGGTGATCATCGGCTCCAGGAGTCGGGTCGCAGCGAAGAGAAAAACTCGGAGAAGTCGACAAGACTCGCTTTCGAGCGGAATATATGAGAACACGATGTCTTTGTCGAGATGTCGCACTGGTTGTAAGTCTGCTCGCTCGTACGCTCGCTGCTTGTTTTCCAAAGCTCCAGAAGCTTTCAAAGAGAGGCAACGTACACTGTGTAGGGGATTCAAGCTCTTCACTCGAGCGTGGAATGTTTGCCACTCATGCGCTCGACTTATACGGCCACCGACTCACATATTCGTCCTGTTCTACGATCAAGCTGATTTGGTGAATTTCTCCCTTGGCTCATATGCGGCAAGAAAGGAAAAGGGAGTGTTCCTCTCATGACACGTTCAGCGTGCCGTCGAATTCGCTTTCACGAGATGGAGGAAGGCGGCCCCGATCGTCTACCGCATTATGGGGATGATGGACTACTAGAGCAGTTCCAGGATGTCATGATCCTTTCGATTGATCGGAGTCTGGATTCGTCGTGGTTCGGCAAGCGATTCAGCAATCGCTCGATGGCTCACCTCGATTCACCGTTTTTGTGATCATATCTCCTGTCGAGCGCTGTTCGTTCTCCATAAGGGCCTTCTCTCATCAATCCTCAGGAATAGCTGATGAGCTATTCGATTATCTCATTGAGTAGTCTTCGCACAAACAGGACACCAGAACAGGTCACGAGTCCAGGACCGGGGCTTCAGAGCTACATGGGGAAACCTCTCCTCTTCGCCCCCCCCCCCAGAGCTCTTCGTTCGCTTCAAGTTTCCGGGGTCTGATTCGAGGAATCGTTTCCTGCCCTGAGTGTCTCTGGCCAGGGTGTCATCAGGGCTCGGTCAGCGAAGCTTTGTGGGCCACGGCCTGAGAATATTCCGCATTCGCCCTGCGGGTGTGAGGAAAGACCAATGGCTTTTCGCAGAATACGGACTACCCTCGCGCTCACTTCCCGTAAGAAGGAGCCGGCTGCCGAGTTTTGACCTGCGACACCCCGCCCGGGACTACGTCGATGGAAGTTTGCATGGGATGTGTAGACCACAAAGACCGCTCGGCTACCCTCGGGTCGATGTCGCTGCTATTGTTACCACATGCTCAAGCGAGAGAAACTTCACTCGTGAATTCCGGATCGTCTCCGCTATGAGTGGTGTTGAAACAAGGGGTAAATGAGCTCCCCAGTTACCTTAGTCAGTGGAGTCGATCTTCGCCTCGACTCCCGAATCCTCTTTCACCCCTCATATTGGACATATATGCGATTATAGCATCGAGTCATCGAAGGACTCCGTTGAAGATAGATCGACCGCTGTCGACCGGACGGCGATGATATAAGGTCAAACACGGCGGCAAGCATACCCCCATGAATCCGAACAGAGGAGCGTCTCCTCGTCGTGCAGGGTCTCTTCGCTGCACTTCGTTCGAGTGCTGAGGCATTGCTCTTCAAATGGTGCACTGACGTCGTTACGAGTCTCGCTTGGGTTTGCTTCCTCCGCACTGAGGAATCCATAGAATGAGCTCCGTGTACATTGTAGCTGACCCCATTCCTCGCACTTGCGCCTTTTGTCCCCGGTGCGGCGCGGTCCGCAGTCTCCGACCTTTCTGGCCGTCGGGTGATGTTCTATTTCTCGTCGAGCGCCTCTGTTTCTCAGATTCCCGCTCGAGACTTCACTAATTTCTACCCGAGAATAATCGAAATACATCGTGCATTGATATGCGGAACTCTGCAATCTCTACTTTCGAATGCAAAATATACAGATCGCACGATTCGGTGAGACCGACTCTCTAATGTGCCGGTGCGTCATTCACGCGGCTGGATATATTAAGTATTTAGATACCCGTGAATTAGTTAGGGGCCCTAGATACTGTGTGTGTCGATTACGGTGGCCTTGGCGACAATGCGAGGCAATTCTACAAAGTGCCACAGCCGTTGAGCCGTCGAGTCGGTCTATCTGTAGGAGGGTTCGTGTTCAGGAATGGAAGCACGAAGAGGAGAGCGCGGAAATAATTGTAGCCGAAGGAATACGTTTCGCGATGCTTGCGTCCTCCCTCCCCCTGTGACAAGTCACAAGGTTCTTCGTGTTGTTGCGGAGGGGAATCTCTATTTCTCGAGTCCTAGCCTTGTTTATTGCAATCGGGAATTATGCTTGGTGCTTGGGGGTAGCTCTCACAATTAG